GCCATGCCCACCCAGTTACATTACCCACCCAAGCCATGCCCACATAACCGGCAGTAACAAATTTTACATTTCACCACTAGTCTGAATGTTCTGTAAAGACATTTTAAATTTTAATTTAGTTTTTGCCTCAATCCACAAATTATTTATTTTATGGATATGATATGGATATCAGGGAGCCACCGGCTTTGTTTCCTTTTTGTCTGCTATGGGTAATTTATCCAATTTTTCTTTCCAAGCTATTTCCATCAAATCAGAACAATGTTTGATTAAATGGTAAAGAACATGCCATATTGTTGGAATTAACCTTTCCATCTAACAGCAAAGAGTGTTAATTCCTTATGTGTACCAAGCAGTAACAGTTTCTGATTAAATGCACTGTATCTATAAGTCATTATGCAGTGAGCCAATTTGGTGTAGTAGTTAAAAGCACCAGGCTGGAAATTACAAGACTGTAAATTCTAATTCTGCCTTAGACATGAAGCCAGCTGGGTTGACTTTGGGACATTTGTTTTCTTTCAGTCCTAGGAAGAAGAAACTGGCAAGCCACTTCTTGCTAACTTTGCCAAGAAAACTGTGGGGGACTAGTTCAAGCAGTTGCCAAGAGTCCACATTAACTGAAAAGTACACATATGCACATATTAATGTAGCACTGCTACACATTTTTTTAATTTTTAAGACCTCTATTTTTTTTTAGCTGTGATATTTTTCTTTGCCTATGCGGGACATATTTAAATTAAAAGAGGAGCACTGGCTTAGATAAAAGGAAACAAGATTGCATTCCTAAGAGTTAGAAGTAATGTGTGGATTGTTTGGTTTCTCCTTTAATTCAAATCAGCCCAGTATTTCTCTGCAAAAGTAAGGATAAGAAAAGACAGAAAGTGTCATACATTTAAGCTAGTGACTTGAAGGTCCCATCAAGGGCTCAGTGTTTCCTCCAAACACTCAGTGTTTGGAGGAAAGCCAGATCAGAAAACCAATTCCACCAATTTGATTGGAACTCTATTGAGATTACCACACAGTCCATCAGAATTTCTTCCTCTCTTTTTTTGATTAACCAAGTTTAAAATATATGTCTGTACACGTTTTTGTAATTGATGCTGCATAGTTTCTCCAAGGTAATTTCTCTGCAGCTGGGTTCCCACAATATGCCTGGCCCTGGCTGATTTAGGGACAGAGGATATGAAAGCCCAGCATTCAATAGGATTCCCACCTGTCCTAAAAGAGGTTCATTTGGAAGAAAGAAAGAAGTTGTAAAAGGAAATGAAATAAAACTGAAGACTCTAACATCATGAATAATTAATTGCCCAGGAGGTGATTTAATCAAAGACAGAAAAAAACAAATAAAACAGCTGACAAAGTATAGTTTGAGAGTGCAACCACTCATCTAAGGATTATCTGGCTGGTTTTATATTCTTGAAATTTCAAAAACGGGACAATATCTGGTTCCATCTCATTGTTGGCATGTAATTATCACCAAGCTTTTATCCAAAAGGAAGGCAAAGAAAGGAAACTTTTTGACAGAAAAAAGAGAATTTTCTGCATATATCATAAAGATAAGATTGTAAGGACTTTTTTTTTGGGGTGTTTTTTTTTTTTTTTTGCATAAATAAAATCAAACTCTGCTTGGTTCCCTTTTTCACTCCTTTAAAAAAATGTTCTGAACTAATGTGAAGGATGAATATATGAGAACCAGTCAGCAATGTCTACATTTTCTTTGTTCTTTTGGCCCCAAAATTAACAGAAAATAAAATTTTTGGTTGTACCTTCAATTAGGGCAAGAGAAATATTTTGGTCCACAAAACAATCACTTTAATGTTTATTATGAGATATTTCCCAGCCTTTGATATTAAGTCAAACAATGGCGGGGTTTTTTTGTATTTCAGCTTTTCACAACTTAATGAGGATCCATGGCCAGCCATCTTGTTTCCTTCATATTTGACATAAACGTGTATCACACTGCATTCTGACATAGTTCAAAAGAACTCCAATACAGTCTTCAAAGAAATAATCTTCATTCATACAGTGTTACGTTACATTTTCATCAGTTCCTAAATAATAACCATCCACATTATTATGGATAAAAAACAACAGCTGCCTGTGGATAAACATTCTGTTTGGAAGTAAATCTATAGTACGACTAAAAATAAAATATACTAGGTTGTGATAGCAATGTAGTATGAAAGCTGCTGTTATTTGCTGACTCTCTATAAACATAGTTTATTTGTAACTTGTATATTTGTTTATTGAAACCACTTTTAAACCACCTTTCATTTTTGCAAATAGAGTTAACTATGCTCAAATAAGATTTCAGCCATCTAATAAATGCATTTATATTTGTTTTTATCCAATTTTGTATACTGTTTTAACCCTTGGTTTTATCAGTATGCTACCCACAGTTACCTTGTGTGAAATGAGAGACCCCATAAATTTAATTAATAAATATAGCCCCAGCAGATAATAATATTTGTGGTAAGTAGGATAAAAAGTTGCATATTTTACCAACAGGCTATAGCAATTAAAGGTAAAGGAACACAAATTGTTTAAGGCAAATAACAGATTTGGACACCCATGATATAGTTGGTTAAGATGTAATTAACATTGATTAAAACATTACTTTTAGTTTGATACATAAATTGACCTTGTCAATGAAGTCAGATGAACTCTATTCTATTAGACAAAAGTGCTGTCAAATTTGATTATTTGAGATCAAAGCTGTTAGAAGGGAGTATCTTAGAATCAGGTTTTACCATGTAATGGCTGAACTTGATTTGTCTATGCTGGTTTAGATCCAATTACTAATTAGTTCAGTATTGAAGAAATTAACCAATACTTTGGTTAATTCAGTACTTTTACTGCCACTCAGGCCTATATTCTAGTTTTGCCAGTGGTATCAGCTGAAGGGTGATTCCAGCACAATTTGTCCTATTAAAAACCATAATTCAGGACCTTATATAATAATTTGATCCTCTGCCATAATTTGTTGTTATTTAATTTATACAATATAATTATTGTATATCTCATTTAGTTTTAAATTTATGTAGCTTCTTTGCTGCACCTAGAGGGTGATGTGAAATAGAGCCCATTTTAGCTCTAACTAAAGACATCATAATTTTCTCAAACAACTGGAAAATCTTTGTGAACAACACAGAATGAACTTTTGAGTGCTGCCACAATTTGATCGTTTTGGGATGTTAAATTCTAGAGTATAATTTATAGAATAGAAAATCTTAGTCATGTAATTTTTGGATCTTGATGATTGTTTGAGAGGATGTCAAATAATGAAATTATTAAATGTACTAACTTCACAATCCATGCAGCCAGAGTTGAAAAATCAAATTTATGTCTGAATCCAAGATAAATAGATTCTGTAGAGGCACAAGCAAACATAGACAAGCATCTGTTTTGAGTCTGAAAAAGTTGGGAGGAATTTAGGGGCAGCAGTATTTTGGGAAGCCCAAAGATGAACATTAGATGACAAAGATGTACGTTCAATGTGGTGGATCCAAGCAAAGTTGAGCATTCTATGTGACAGATCCTTTTCCACGACTGTATTTCTGAAAGTTTTAAAAAACAAAACATTGCCAGCAACAAGATGAATAAATACTAAACAATTTAATAAAATCTACTTTTACTGAAATCTCAATATAAAGTGCATTATGATCAGTAAGGTGTGCAATGGAACTTTCCCCATTAATAAATTTACTTAGCAAAGGCAATCAAAGGTGCTTTCTTCCACCCCAACCTTAGTGGGTCTTGACATTATTTTGCCTACTGCATGGAGGAAAAGAGCAGCCTTCAACAAAGCAAGTTCCCACTTCTCTCTTGCCTGCCAAGAAGGATGTGTGAAACATCATTTCAATCCACCCTGCCCTTGCGATTCCTTCCCCCCCACCCCCGTTTCCTTTTCTGAACGAGGGACGGCGGCAGATGGCCTCGAGTGGGTAGAAACGAAGAGCGTTGATCAACAGTTAACTTGGCTCAGAAGCCCATCTAGGCTGGCGCAGTTCCCCTATCCGTGTGCCAGAGAGAAAGGGCGCGAGTTAAGTTTCGCCCCTCAGGAAGAGAGCGAGCGGGCTCGCAAGCGGAGACTCCTCTTGACCCCTTGTTGCTTCTTTCGGACTTCCAAGAAGAGGCGCCCAACTGGAGGAGACCCGAGCGGGGTCGGGCTCCACTTTACGGCGTCCTCTACCTGTGGCGCTGCAGGTGGGAGGCGAGGAGCTGCTCCTGTGGAGAGGCGTGAGGCATCAGGGAGCAGCAGGTGGACCGGTTTTTCCTGCTTTCTGACCAAACCGACGGGCATCCGCTGCCGGGTGCTGGAAAGATAAGAAGTCCCTCTCTCCCCCACCCTCCCTCTTTCGTCGTGGTCGGTCGCGGAGGCGATAATGGGGGTGGGGGTGGGGGGCGGATGACGCCACTGAACCTCTTCGCCTCGTGAATGTCGAACAAAGGAACTCCTGCTGAAGGAGAAAAGGTGGAAAGGGAGCCGGTGCTCTTCCCCTGCCGGAGGCTCCTGCCGTGAGCGAGAATGCGCGCGCTCCTTCCGGGAGATAAACGCCACGAGCGGACCGGTTTTCCGCCGCTCCAGTCGCCTTCTCGCCCTGATTCCCTCACGGGTTCGGTGAAATTCGGTGTTCGGGACTTTCCCGCTCCCGAGTCCATTTATTTTCCACTGGGGAGAATTGGCCTTTGGGTTGCTTTCTGAATCATCCCGCCCCCTTCTTTCTTTCTCCCTGTCGGTTCGTCTTGGATGGTTTCGAAGTGTCGCCCATTTGGATGCGGGAGTATTGCTGGAGGTGTCCTATTTTCATGTGCTGCTTGCCTTGTCGGGAGGTGTAAGAGAGAAAGGCAAAAGCCAGAACTGCGCTGTGGTACGTCTAACCGGACCTCGTTGTGCTCCGACCAGGAGCTCTCCTTTCACTGGAAAACAAGAAGCTCTTCGCGCCTTCCTTCGAGAATCTCTTGGCTTCCCAAAACTAGGCTGGAGGCGCGCCGCTTCCACGAGGTTCTTCTCCTGGTCCCGCCATGGCCTTCACGTTTGCTGCCTTCTGCTACATGCTCTCCCTGGTCTTGTGCGCTGCTTTGATCTTCTTCGCCATCTGGCATGTGAGTAGATCATTTCTACAAGTTTCCCCCAAGTCCATGCATTTAACTTTCCTCCACACTTAGAACAAAGAACTTAGAATAATAAGAGTTGGAAGGGACCTTGGAGGTCTTCTAGTCCAATCTCCTTCTCGACCAGGATTCTCCATACCATTTGAGACAAATGATTGTCTGGTCTTTTTTTGAAAGCCTCCAGGGATGGAGCATTTACAACTTCTGAAGGCAAGCTAGTCCATTAGTTGATTGCTCTCACCATTACTTAATTCTAGGTTGCTTCTCTCCTTGGTTAATTTCCAACCTTTGTTTCCAACCTGCCTTTTGGTGCTTTGGAAAATAGTTTGACCTGCTCATCTTTGTAGGAGCCCCTCAAATATTGGAAAAGTGCTATCATACTAACCCTAGTCCTTCTTTTCGTTAGTCATACCCAATTCCTGTAACTGTTCTTCATATGTTTTAGCCCCCAACCCCTTATCATTGTTATTGTTCTTCTCTACACTCTTTCCACAGTCTCAACACCTTTTTTGTCTTGTGGTGATCAGAACTGGATGCAGAACTTCATTCACACGTAATAGTTATATGTCTGGGAGATCATTTTGGGATCTAACCAAAATGGAATCTTTTAACTACTAGTCAACTCAAGATAGATCAGTTAGAAATTATAGGACTCCTCCAAAAAATGTTTTTCAGTGGAGGAGCTCAGTTTTCAGCTACAAATTCAGAACACACCTTCCTATTCAGTAAATGAGAGCAGGCAACAAGAGAGTGCCTTCTAGTTCCACTACCTAAGTGGTTGTGTGTTAATTTGGAACAACAGAAGTATGAAGCAGCATGGACAGATGTACATAGAGTTTCTCCTTGTCATGTATATGCAAATGCTGGTAGGGCATGGTTTTTTTTACTTGAGCACACACTTTGGCATGAAAGGCTACATATGATCCTACTATACTTGTCACAAACTCATTCTTGGTATGTCTATGGAGATTCTCAATCATCCAAGTCATGGTTGCACCAAAGGTGCTTTTCCAAAGGACAAATGAACTTTCTTGGTTTCTTCCTTGAAAATTTTTCACTTCTCATCCAAGAAGCTTTCTCAGTTCTGACTGAATGGTGGGGAATGGAAAGATTTATATTCTTTGCAGACTTCTGGTCATTAGCACCCTGAGAGACATTGAGGCCACTGTGCTGTAACCACAGAGTCACCTGAATCACAGTGCAAATGGATGTGGAGCCTTCTTGGGACTGCTTAAAGGACTATGTTGTAGACAGGAGATAGATGGTGTTGTATTCCTTCCCCTCTGTTGGGAGAGGGCTGTTCAGTTTTAACATAAATAGCCTTTTTGACCCCTCTTTCATTCTAGAGGTCTTCTCTATCCAGTATGTAAACTTTTCTGTCTTCAAAAAAGTGACCTTTGTCTTTCAGATGCAGATGGACTGCTGAATCCTGTCTTGATGGATAGTTCTCCTGTATTGTGCCATGCGTTTGTGAAGTGGTTTTGTTCTCCTATGTTGTGCCATGCATTTGTGAAGAAACAACCACTTATTTATGAATAAATAAATTTCAAACCAGAACAGTTATTACCTAGAACAGTCCCCCTTTCTTCTTCTCTTATGCTTCTAATGCAGCTCTCTATTTCCTTTCTCATTTCAAAGTGGGTGTTAGGGCCTTAAGGTATGGTTACTGAACAGTCAAGGTAATTTGGATGTCTTGGCAATACCTTATCCAGACTTGAATTTCTGAAGCTCTTCAAATACGTTTGCTTAAGGAGGAAGGGGAGAAATAATAGAATAAATAGTTGGAAATGGACCTTGGCTGTCTTCTAGTCCAACCCCCTGCTTAAGGCATTTATAAACATATTTATAAACATTCTCATACATCAGTAAAATAGTCTTTTACTATAGTCTTGAAGGGATGTTCTCTCCCCCACTCTGAATTCCAAAATGAGGAGAAGTTAGTTTGATGCCTATTGTGCTAGCTGAACAAATGTGGTACACTGGTCTTTCTCATCATTGCCAAATACATTACTACCATAATTTAGAAGACTGTATGGGGTATCAGGCCCACTCAGATTTATCAAGAGACTACTGAAAACAAAACACTGTTGTTATTCTGAATATGGTATAATGTTGCCTTTTCTCCTTCCTGCTGTATCAAGTGGCTTACTTATGGCTGATTTACATTGCCAGTTAGATTAATAGCTCTTAGGTTGTCATTGTAGTGGTGTTTTTCCTCAAGGTGTTCTAATCTACGTCCATTCCCCTTTTGTTTTCTTTAATCTGATTGTAATTAACAATTTCTTAATTAGCTATCTGCCAACTGTTATTTTCACATAGAAAGTTGGACAAGGCGCTCTTCATATCAGGAAATGACTAAACACTAAATCTACTTGCTTTATGTTATCACATAGAGTAAGCATTTATATGTTCTGACTGACATGTTGCTTAAGTCCTATAAATATCTTTGAATAGGGACATCTTGTTCTGACAATTGATACAGGCAGTGGGTAGGCTGAGTATGTTCCGCCTTTGCCAATTCTCGCATTGATGCAGAATTCTCAGAATAAACAACATCTTGAAAGAAATCATTTTATTTGAAAGTAAAATCATAACAGAAACCAATCTTATTTTTCTAAAATTCTATACTTGTCCATTGTATAAGTATATTGGAACATCTTCCCAAATAGCAAATCATGATGTTTTAATTTCTGCTGTAAGCATGATCTATTATACTTCAGCACATTTAATAGCAATTGGCTACTCAAAATTTTAGACAAAAGTTTCAATTTCACATTTACTACTGAAAATGAAAAACTGTAAAACCACAGATTTGGAAAAACAGGTGACAGTAGCAATAGCAATATCATTTAGACTTATATACTTCTCCATAGTGCTTTACAGAACTCTCTGAGTGGTTTACGTCAGCATATTGCCCCCAACAACCTGGGATTTCATTTTACCAACTTCGAAAGAATGGAAGACTGAATCAACCTTGAGTCTGTCAGGACTGAACTCCTGGCTGTGGGCAGAATTAATCTGCAATATTGCATTCTAACCACTGCACCACCAGAGCTGCATCAATTATCAGTACCTAAAGACGTTGGCAAATTTAAAAAAAAATCACTAACCCACTAAGTAAGGGCAGACTTGTCCTGAAAGGAGGCAGTGGAAAATTATTTAAATATTGTTGCCAATAAATCCATATGGATGAGTAGATTTCGTCAACAGAATCTGAGCAGCACCTAACCAACTTTGGCTGGTCTTAAAAAGAGAAGGAGGGTTAGATCTGATCAGTGCTTGGATGAGTGATTATTAGAAATCTCAAGAATGTAAACTTGGTTGCCAAGCTAATTACATAAACTGTACTGTAATCACCAGGAGTCATGCTTGATTCAAAGCAAACTTAATTATTTAAAGGCAGCAAGTCATTTATTTAATACAATATTTTTACTCATTGTACTATTGAGATATTGAAATACTTCAAGTCACCTCCAGAGGATAAAGGGGAAAGGAGCAAACATATGACAGATAAGAAATGAAGAACTGCTTGAAATGGTTAAAATGTACCCAAGAGTTAATGGGATTTATATCCACTACACTAGTAGATTAACATAGGCTCTACACAGTTTCTCCTTTTGATGCTAGGAAGGCTATAATGACCCACAAATTAAGCCTTTCCATTTTGTTTTCTATTATAGCAATTCAGGGAATTTGAATGACAAAAAAGCTCTGCCTCTTTTAGCTACTGAATTTTTCTTGCAGTCAAGGAAGTAACTATAATAACTGAATGCTTCAAAATGTCACTATAAAGTATCTATGGGAATGAAAGCTGGACATAATAGGAAAGACACGAGCATCATGGAAAGTAAGCAGAGACCTGTAAGAATTTTTTGGTTGAAAGATGTGTTCTTAATCGGTGCTCTAGAGTTTGAAAATCTGTTTGCTTGATCTCCATTTGGTTCATGTGTGCTACCAAGAAAAAGCAAACTCACTGCTAGAGAACATTAGGGGAAAATGTAGCAACAGTAAATCAACTCTTAAAGTGAAAACTCATTTTATAATGTAATTTATAATGGGACAGATGTTCCATTACTGCTTTTGGATTGTTGTGAAAAATAATCTATGATTGTATACCCATACTGATATTTAAATAGTACAGAATAATGTGCTCTTGAAATAATCTGCTGGTTGAACTGAAACAAAGTAAACACTTAACTTTCTTTAAATAATTTTGTTTAGTAATGTGTTGTCTGACTTCTACATCACATTTACAGTAGAATTTTAGCACTAATAAGACAGTATGCAAAATCTCATAAAATAATTATAGATATGGAATATAACAACCCAATTAAACTCATACTGTCACCCATGAATACCAAACAGTAACGGTTAAAAGCTGCACTTAGACCTTATAAGTATAATTTTATAAAAACTAGATGCATGTGCTATAAATGGAGACATTTTCTGCTTTAAGTGGGGTGACATTAGTTTACCTATGCAGGACCAAAGTAAAGACATAATTTTGAAAAAAAAAGGCACTTTAGACAGTTTATAATTGTGTGTGTGAGAGAGAGAGAGAGAAGAGAGAGAGAGAGTTAAAAGTATTAGTTTTGCAATGCTGTATCCCCTAATTTGTTAGCTGTCAAGCTATCCTAATTTTTGAAATTTTCTTTCTCAAGTTTTCTGCTTTCAAGTTCCTTGTCTCATCTGAGCTCTGAACATATTTCCAATTACTCTTCTGTACTGTAACATAAACATATCCCTTTCTCATTACAGGTAGTCCTTGACTTATGACTGTTTGCTCAACAACATTTTGAATTAACAACAGCCTTGTAAGGGGTGCTTTACAGCCTTTACAGCTTGTAAAGCACTCCTGACTGTTGCAAAATGTCACAAAGCCCCCTCCCCCCGCAGTCATGTGATTGTGATCTGGGTGCTTAGCAACCTGTTTGCACTTACAATTGCTTGGCAAGCGTCCCATAATCATATGCTCACCATTTGCAAACTTCCTGACTGTTTCCCCAGAAAATCAATGGTTGCAAGCTGCTGCCTGCCACCTGCCCTTCTTGTCTCTGAGGGCTGGCTAAAAGAGCTTCCTGCCAGAGGATTATCACTTTGTGCCTGCTTGCATGGTGCTGAAATCCTTCATGCCTGCTTGCACAGAACTGAAATCCTTCAGCATGGAGTTCTTTCAGTCAGTCCTCAAGACAAGAGGGAGCTGAAATGCAAGCAGAATTTTCAGCCCCTGAGCAGAGAGGCAGTGCAGTAAGGTAAGGAGTGCAGGGTGCTGTGGGATGTGTGTGTGTGTCAGTGGGGGTCTCAGTGCACGTTACATGTTAGTATCCAGGGGCTGAAAATCCTGCTTGATCTTGGTGGGGAGGATAGCATGCAGCCTATGCGAAGTCTCCCAGGGTTTTCCCCAACCCTTTGAGGCGCTCGACACTCCTTCCTTGAGATTCTGTCTGCTTAATGACCTGCAACATCATTTAATGACTGCACTTGGGAGTGCTAAGAATGCGGTAGTTAAGCAAAGCAGTCATATGACCTCTTGCTTAACAACTGCTTCAGTCAATGGCCAAGATTTTGGTACCACTTATGTTCAAAAGTCAAGGACTACTTGTATTACGATGAGTAACTTGTATGGTACAATTAATTATAGAATAAGAGACAATGGTATTCTTTTTCAAATACATTTCTTTCTCTTCCCCACACATTATGTGTATTTTTCTTCAAAACACAATATTTCTTGTTTGGTAATATTTAGGTTTATCCTCTTGTAACATGAAGCAGCACTGAATCAAAAGGAAAGAAATAAACCTGCAAAATAAGTTCCAACATTCACTTGTTTGAACTGTATATTCTGTTGATTTGCCACTAAGATTGTGTACCAGACTGATATTAAGGCATACAGATTTAGCATAACCTGAATATGTCTCTGGAAGCATATTTCAGAGTATGTAGCAAGTACAGAGACATTAGATCCTTTTTCTGCTTTTATGAGTTTTAAAAGCTGCAACCTCTCACAATATTGCATACATTGTATGAAAAATATTGATCAAACTTACATTAGAGTGTGGTAGGTGACTTTCTACATTTTGTTCTCTTTCACATCATAGAATACATATAAACGTTGTTGCAGATTTTTAACGGTAGCACTCGTGCAACCAGTTCTAATGAAAAATATACAGAAATGTTGCTACGTAATTAGAATGTATTTTTAAAATTAGTTTTATTGAATCCTAGGTTGCTTTTAAAACAACAATTGCCTTTTGTTCAGCCTTTTGTAGCTATAGATTCCTTTTGAAATCTATAACATGTAAATAGAAGTTCTTACTTAAATAAATTCTTTATTAAGACCTTTCTTCCTTCCTCATTCATTCATTCATTCATTCATTCATTCATTTATTCATTCATTCATTCTTTAAGCCCTAGTCATCTCTCATCTCGACATGGGACTCGTTACACACGGTCACTCATGCCCTCGTCACCTCCCGCCTGGACTATTGTAATGCTCTCTACATGGGGCTCCCCTTGAGGAGCACCCGGAGGCTCCAACTGGCGCAGAGTGCGGCCGCGCGGGTGGTAATGGGAGCGACGTGGCGCTCCCATGTGACACCTCTCCTGTGCGAGCTGCACTGGCTCCCGGTGGTCTTCCGGGTGCGCTTCAAGGTTTTGGTTACCACCTTTAAAGCGCTCCATGGCTTAGGACCTGGTTATCTACGGGACCGCCTACTACCACCAATAGCCTCCCACCGGCCAGTACGCTCTCATAGAGAGGGACTCCTCCGGGTGCCGTCAGCCAAACAATGTCGGCTGGCGACCCCTAGGGGGAGAGCCTTCTCTGTGGGGGCACCTACCGTCTGGAATGAGCTCCCCCTGGAGATACGGAGGATCCCGGATCTGCGCACCTTCCGCCGCGCTGTGAAGACCTTTTTATTCCAGCAGGCGGGCTTGGCCTAATCTCTTCCCTTTTAAATATGTAAATTTTAATCTGTTTTTAAATTATTGGGGTGTTTTAATCTGTCTGGGCCAAAATAATTTAATTTGATTTTATCTGGTTTTTAAATTTTTTATGTCTATGTTATTTTATTGTTTGGCTGTTCACCGCCCTGAGTCCTTCGGGAGTAGGGCGGTATACAAATCGAATAAATAAATAAATAAATAAATAAATCTGCACTATTGCACTATTGCAATGCACTCTACATTGGGCTATCCTTGAAATCCATTAGAAAGCTTCATCTGGTGCAAAGTGCAACAAGAGCAGGCTTTGGGGCCCCTAGATGGCCAATATTATACCTCTGCTCCATGAACTTGATTGGCTACTGGTCTACTTTCGAGTGCAGTTCAAGGTGTTGGTTATGACCTTTAAAGCTCTTAATGGCATAAATCCAAGCTACCTGCTGAATCGTGTCATCCCCATAAGACAAGCCCAACGTGGTCACGCTGGCAGAGAGGGCCAACTATAGATCCTGTTGATCAAAGAAATCTGAATATTGGAAGAGATTATCCAGAAGAAGAGCCTTCTCTGCCACAGCACTTGCCCTTTGGAACATTTTATTCTCTAGGGTAAGATCTGCCCCCCATCCTACCCTTCTGCAAGAGCCTGAAAAGCTGCTGCTTGGCCTGAGGTCCAAATGAGGAAGTTCCACACTAGAGGTGGCTGCTGGCAGACCAGTGTAAGTGCTTACACTTTTTTCATTTCTTCCTTTTTATTGTTGTAAATCAGAGTAGCCCTACAGTGAGATACACAGCAAATAAATAGACCAAATAATAAAATAAATAAATTAAATTTCTGGGTATTTTAAGTATATATAAAAATAAACTACATACTATCTGCAGTCCTTATATTTTATACATTTAGTATAAAAGATAGTGTAATTTTTAAAACCGCTTTTTGAAACATTGTAGTTTTACTGAATATACAGAAATATGATTGCAAAATTAGAAAAATAAGGAAAAGGATTTTTCTTATTGAAAATTATTCTTTTTAACAAAGCAAATTCTTAAGGGGGAGGGGTATTGTGCTAGTATGCATACAAGGTTATGTCCAATAAGTAACTGAGTTGGCCCTCAGTTCAAGTGTATGTGAATGTATAATTAAGAACAAGAAATCAAACAACAATGCAAGAAAGCAAATCAAACAACAATGCAAGAAAAAAAATGAGACACTGCAGCCAAACTGTTTTAGCCTCCAGTCCCCTAATCATCTTTTTTGTTGTTCTCTGTACTTTTTCTTGAGTCTCAACATCTTTTTTATATCATGGCAACCAAAACTGGATGCAATATTCCAAATGTGGTCTTACCAAGGCATTATAAAGTGGTATTAACACTTCACATGATCTTGATTCTATCTCTCTGTTATTGCAATCTAGGATTGCATTGGGTTTTTTGGTAGCTGAAGCATACTCCTGGCTCATTGTAAGTGATTGTCCAATAGGGCTCCAAGATCCTTCTCGCAGTTATTACTATTGGAGCCAGGTGCCCCCTAGTCTATATCTGTGCATTTGGTTTTTCTTGCCTAAATGTAGAACCTTACTTATTCACAGTGGTGGGATTCTGCCGGTTTTAGGGGGTTCGGCCGAACCATTTGTTAAATTGCTGGCTCGCCCCGCCCCTTGCCCCGCCCCTCCGCACCACTGGGCGAGGGGTGGGCGAGCCAGCAATTTAACAAATGGTTCGGGTGTTTTTTTATAATTTTATTGGCCTCGTAGCTGCCGCGGGGCTTCAAAGAGCCACCCTACAGCTGATCAGTGTTAAAAGAAAAGAAATGAGTAGACCGACACCTGCAAATATAAATGGGTAGACCCAGTGGTGGGATTCTACTTTGGTAGAACCAGTTGTTAAGTAGTTAAGCCAGTGGTTGCCAAAGTGGGCGGTACCACCCCCTGGGGGGGTGGTGGGATGCCTTAGGGGGGCGGTAAACGGCAAGGGGGGCAGCAAGAGGGACGCTAGAGGCAAAGGGGGGCGATGGGGGGCTAAGTGGCAAGGAGGGTGCCCCCCCCTTTGACCTGTGCCTCGCAGCACTTACCTCCTTGCAAGCAAACAGCAAGAATAAAACAGCCTCTTTCAGTTTCAGCATAGGTTAATTAGCATGATTAGATCAGCCTCCAACTCTCAGCTGATTCGCTCTCAGCTGTTTTGCAGGCTCGTTTGCAAGCTCTTGTTTTGCAAGCTCTTTGCTTGCTGCAAAGAGTGCTCGAGCAGATTTTTTTTTCCTAGCTAAAAGGAAAATGAAAGTAAAGCAGGCTCTGCTGCAATGTGACAAAATGAGGCAGGGAGAGAGATTTCTTTTTCTTTTTCTTTCTCCTCACCAAAAAAGGTAGGTGCAAACAATGGGAAATTTAGGGAAAAAGAGGAGAGTTCAAGATTTTAAAAGACAAAAGAAAAAAAGCTCTATTTAACTAGGGAATTGTAATAATTGAGATACTATTAATTGTATATTGTGTTGAAAGCAGAAATGGTTAAGTTGTGGTTTGGAGGAATATATGGGGGAAATTATTTGGTTTATTATTATTGGTAAATATAATTAATTGATTTGTAAGAAATTGGATTGCATGGAAATAATTGGAATATTCATGTTCATATTGATTAATATACAAAAAAGATAGTTATATAACTAATTGATTTATATTAAAATGTTGAATTTGTATTAAACAATTGTAATATTACATAATTAACCAATGTGAGGATGGATATAAAAATAGATGACAATGGGAAGGGGTATAATATAGAATAGAAGGGAAAAATTGAATTTGATTAAGATTAGAGATGAGGATGAAGGGTAATAGTTTTTTTAAAAAATAGATGAGGAATAAACATGGCAAAAAGGAAATATAGAAATTGTAAATTTAATTGAAATGACTAAACACTGTTTAAATTTGTGAACCAGCCAAATACTCTGTTCAAAGAAAATACATTGTATGTTTGTATGTGTGTTTCTAATTATTGCTATTTATTCATATTTGTTCTCTTTTATTCTTTAAAGTTTAACAATTCATTCTTTATCTTAATATCTTTATATTTGTTTGGGGTTGGCTTTCTTCCCTTTCATCTTTTTTATTGTACAGCAATCTTTCTCCTCAAACCTACCACCCCTCTCTTTTCTTTCCTTCTTACTTTCTCTTCCCCCCCTCTTCTTCTCCTCCCTACTTCCTCTTCCTTTCTCCTTCTCCTCCTCTCTTCCTCCCTCTCTTACCCTCACTCCTACTCTAATTTCCCTTCCCTTCCTTCATCCCTCTCTATTGCTGTATCCTTTTATGCATATGGATTACTCAGAGGGCTGAAAAGGTTATTTTTGACTGGTCCTCGCACTTTTGACCAGTCCTCGAACTTACGACTGTCCTAACATTTTATGTTTTTGCCCTATCTTGTCACCATGGTGAAGAGAAGCAGTTGTGAAATGAGTGACACGGTTGTTAAGAATGCTACAATGGGCATAAATGATGACCAGTCATAAGTGCGAAGACCGGTCAAAAATGCGAGAACCTGTCAGAAATAACTTTTTTCAGCCTTCTGGGTAGTCCTATTGTGCATATGGACTACTCAGAGAGCTGAAAAAATTATTTTTGATTGGTCCTCGCACTTTTGACCAGTCCTCGAACTTACGACTGTCCTCACATTTTACATTTTTGCTCTAGCTTGTCACTATGATGAAGAGAAATAAGTGACACGGTTGTTAAGACTGCTGCAATGGGCATAAATGTGAGGATGGTCATATGTGCGAGGACCGGTCAAAAGTACGAGGACCAGTCAGAAATGACTTTTTTCAGCCCTCTGAGTAGTCCCTATGCAGATAGCCACGCCCACCCGGTCACATGACCAGCTAGCCATGCCCACCCGGCCACATGACCAGCTAGCCACACTCACCCAGTCGCATGACCACCAAGCCACACCCCCAACTAAGCCACGCCCACAGAACCGGTTGTTAAAAAAATTGAATCCCACCACTGCTTATTCACCATTAAATTTCATTTTGATAGTTAGTGCCTAGTGTTCAAGTCTGTCAGGATTCTTTTGTATCTTAAGCCTATCTTCTGGAGTGTTGGCGATTCCTGCCAGCTTGGTGTCATTGTACATTCAGAATTTTAGGACATGTTGAAAATGCTTGAGTGAAATGATTATTCTGAAGAAACCAAAACCATGAGTACTAACAGAAATGTAAAGTCATAGTACCAATTTGAAAGCACGTCTTCCCTCCTTTACTTTCCAGAGAACTAAGGCGGGATCTTTCTGAGGTGTTTTCCATACCCCAGTTCCTTCTGTTAGTTACGTTTTGTTTGATAATTGCCTAGGCTTTGGCTCCTGTTTCCCAAGGTTATTCTCATAGCCCTTAGGTAACAGTGTGTCATGGATACATGGATAGTGATGGTGGGGCCATAACCAGTTTCAAAGCATGAACTTATTGCATTGCTACCTTTTTCCCTTGGCCAGTAGCTAAACTGCCTCCCTGCCAAATTAAGCATTCCAATATTGAAATGAATTTCAACCCTGATGTTATTTTCACTCCTTATACATTTGGAATAGATCTGTATTGAGCTTGAACCACTTCCCAAATTCTAAATGGACTGTGTTGTGATAGGACTTTCAGTTTGCTCCCCTGTAAAATAGTATTGCCCATGCTTAAATACTTAGTCGTACATAGCATCTTGAACAAGAATGCAAATAGCGAAACTCATGCCATAATGTTGGGTACATGGTAAATTTATTAAATGTCAATAATTGCTCATCCTTTACTTTCACTGTTGTAGTTTAGAAGCAAGAAAAGATCTGATGAAATTACCATAGATCTAAGTAATATTTCAGCTTTTAATTACAAAATATTGGCATACAAATCGTAAGAATAAAAGCTATTAGAATCACACAGAGTTAACTGTATTCCATATAGAGAAGACTAAGAGATTACCACACCCACACACCTTTTCCTGCCTTGAAAAACTGCAGTGTGGGAGAGGAAAATGCTAATCTTTCTGTACTCTTATAATTGGGACAATAAATGCACACTTAATTGGATTTATAATTTGTCTCCTAGTTGTTGTGCCTAAGCAATGTGGGGGCAGAGAAACTTTTATCACAAAATGATTACAGCCACATAATATATTCAACTATATTTTTTTATGTATATAGGAATTTGGAAGATGATGCCCCAAGGATATTGGAAGTAATCCTCTATAAGGTTCTCTTTGACAGCCTGTTTCTGTACAAGCTATTTGTATTCTGAGGTAGTGTTTGCATTAAATGATAAATCAATAATAAACCATAATGTTTTAAATTATAAATCATAATGTTTTAATATGGCATTATTAAATAATCCATTGTTAGAAAACATAGAAAGAGTTTGAAGATTATTTCTCAGTAATTAGATATGAAAATGTATTGGCTTTTTATTTATTATTTAAGCTTATAGTATATGCTTGATTTCCAAAGATTTTGAATGATTGTATAGTTGCATAGGATGATTTAGAACATATATTACATTGTTACTTTATGCCACATACATATGTTAAAATAAAAAAGTTAAATAAAAAATAGGGAGAAAAAGGTTAAATAGATAGATGTTTGCAATCAAGCATCAAAAACCTCTGCCCCTACCATTTTTACTAGATCTGAAGTTATAGGGAAAAACAAGATCTGAAATACAATCGCCGCTTAATATTGTCCACATATACAGCCAGTATAT